CGCTCCGGTTGTGCAGCGCTGCCCGCCCGCTCGGTTCCCTTGTCCAGCCGCATACTCACTGCCCGTCCTGGTGTCTGGCTCCCCCTTGGGGGCACTGGGGTCTGGTGGCTCTCAAAGAGGGATATCCCTAAGTGCACAATGCCGACTGCAAACATTCGAGTCTACCTAGGCGAGGCCAGGGCTTGGCTTAAAGGTGACGTCAGGGCGTCATCTCCTCTCAAGCAGCAGACGCTTCCTCAGGGTGGTCTCCGGCCGCCGTGACCCCAGGTGATCCGGATTCCAGGAGAATCTGGAACTCTGTGCTGCACTGACCCCCTTTTGATCAGGCTCCGTCTATAGAAGCCTCGGTCAAAGGCTCCCTCTTGGCAGCTAGGCCCCATCTCGTTCTGGGCTGCGACAATGGAGGCCATTGGACACGCATTCCCGACGGGGGGTGGGGTAGGGGGCGTTTTACCCCGAGAGGCCGGCTTCGCCATCCATGTCAACCTGCTTTCTCTCTGGAGCTGCAATTCCTCCCTCCCCTCAGAGATGCCCTGAGTCCCCGGGGTGCCCCAGCCCGCCAGGGTGCTGCCCTATGCAGAACACTTCCTCCACCCAGCTCAGGGACTTGAGATGTTTCCCAGTATTCCCCGCTCTTAAAAGGATATGTGCAGAATTTTTATAGTGGTAAAATTCATCTTAAATTGATTTTTTATGTCTGTGCTAAAGATCTCAACCCCGATGTACTCTGCAGTGCTCCTTTTTAACTCTTTGCCCATTGGCATTAGATAACCATTCATGGATGAAATGTAATTAAACAGCTTTGGTTCAGAAGCAAGGATTTACGATACTAAATTTAAAATGAATGGCATTAAACACACACATAAAACCAGATTCTTAAAGCCATAACACAGATTTCCATTTCTACAATAAAATGAAATTTATTCCCCGCCCTGCCCTCTCCTCCAACCTCGCTTTGCTTGTCCCTGGAATTGCTGGGGTGCGGGATCAGGAACAACGCTCTCATCACAGGGGAGTTCCTCGAACTGCCCTGTCCACGAACCCTGAAACCCCGAGGATTACGGGCTCTTTGGGCCAGGCATCTAAAACCCCTGCCAATAATCGCAGAGCCATGGTCTCTGGACCACACCTGTGTCTGGGGCAGGGAGAGGGCACCTTCTTGGGAGGCTGGTGTTGCTGCTGTCCTCCCCCTCCCCTGCCTCACCCCCCACCCCCTGCCCAACGGAGGCCAGGCCACAGTGCTCCACCGGGCTGCATGGCTAAAATCTGGAACCTGATCACCAGGCCTCTCCTCCTGGTCTCCCAGTCACCCTGAGTCAGGATGCTCTGCTGAGACCCATGCAGCATCACAGCCACACACCAGCCCCCACAGACGGATGGGTGGGCAGTGGCTGTGCATGAGGACACTGGCCAGTTCTCCTGCAGGAAGGAGAATTCCACCAATGAGTCTGGATGGAGTTGTTTGCTGGACTCAGGCTTAGAGGTCTGCTGGGAGGGCATCAAGCCCCTGCAGATGGAGACGTGACCCAGCTGCCCCAGTATCAGCTGGACAGAGGCAAAGAGGCTTCCCCCCAACCTCTTCCCAGGACATAGTGTGCACCCTCGGCAGAAACATTCTGAGAGGTACGTTCTGGTATGGAGCCCTCTGAATTTCTCTGAACGTGACAGGAGCATGCTGGCCGACGGCTAGAAGATTGTGGCTTGCTGAGTGCTCTTGAACATATTATCTTGTCCATGCACCGTCCAACTCTCTGCTGTCCATCCTCCCACCCGTCCATCTGTCCATCTGCCCACCAACCATCATCCATCTATCTACCATCCGTCCATCTATCATGCTTTCATCCATCCGCCCATCTACCCACCATCTATCTCCTATCATCCATCCATTCATCCAAGCACCATCGTCCATCTGGTCATCCACCCATTCACCCACCTACCATCTATCTATCATCCATCATTCCATCATCCATACGCCACCCACCCACTCACCCATCCAACCTCCATCTGGCTACCCACAATCCACGCATCTTAACACAGCAACACGAGAGTCACGTGCGATTTGCTTTAAGGGTTTCTTCTGAAAATATGCCGACTGTTAGCCAACCTCGGGACTACAGAGGATAGATCGGGAGGCAGGGCACGGTCTTCATGGACCTTCCTCTGTAAGGGTGACCGGTCCCTGTGGAGGCCAATCTGAGTCCCTGCTTGTGAGAAGTCTCTATGAAGGACCGTGATTGAAACCTGCATGGATTTGCAACGTCTTCCCCTCAACCCCAACCGGGAAGCGGGAGAGCAGTTACACTGCCGTGGCTCGCGCGTCTGCAATACTGCCTGCAGTGAGCGGGCAGTGAGGCCTGCCATGCAGGGCCTGCCTCACACAGCCGAGGGCAGGTGTGCGAGGAAGGCTGTCCTCCCACCGTCCCCGAGCTGGCACTCTGGCCCTGACGCTACTGGGAGCGTGACGGGAGAGCGCCCGTGAGACTCAGGCATCACAGCCGGGGAAACTGAAAAGCTGCACGGGGCTGTCACCACCTGTGGATGAAGCTGACCCCAGCCAGAGTCTCCAGCTGGCCCCGCCACGGCTGACAGGAGGGGACTGGAACAGGCCCCCGTTTGTCCAATGTGGGCATGCCAGGGGAGGCTTGGACGAGGTGGAGGAGGCCTTCAGGGACCTGGTGTGGGTGGCCTGGACTAGAGCCAGGCTTGGGCACCCCCTCTCATTCAACGCACTGTGCCTGGCTGCCATGTTGGGGCTGGGCACCAGGGTCTGACGCTGGCACTCCAGAGATGTGGTTGCCATGCAGCTGGGGCACCGCCTTTGTTCCCTACGAGGGAGGTTAGGCATCTAGCTAACACACCAACCTATAACCGGCCCCATTCCACCGCTTCTTCTTCTTTTTAAAAATCATTTTATTGGAGGCTCGTACAACTCTTATCACAATCCATACATCCATCGTGTCAAGCACATTTGTACATTTGTTGCCATCATCATTCTCAAAACATTTTCTT